TGTTTTGTAATCCTTTAGTAATCCATGGCTTATATTTGTTTTTTGCCTGTATTTAAAAGGTACAGTTGGACAGTTTTTATCGTAAAATGTTTTAAATATTTTGATAAATATCTCAAAAGCTTTATCAATATTTTTTTCTTCATACAACACGTTCCAGTTCTCTGCTTGTAACTCGTTTCTTAATGCTCTTATTGAGTCCTCTGATATTCTTTTATATGTGATGTTGGTGCCCTCATTTATTTTTCTGCAAACCTCTTCTAGGATAACAAACATGGTCAGATGGTCACTGATGTCATTTATAAGAAATCAACTTCTCAATTTACTTTCCATGTAATTAGTAAATATATTGTCAATCAGGGTTGAACTGTGTGTTGTTATTCTACTTGGTTTAGTAATTAGTGGATATAAACCTAAACTATAGTATCAATAAAGTTAGCTGTACTTTTAACCTTGTTTGGATTCAACATGTCAATGTTAAAGTCTCCACAGATGAAAATGACCTTTTGATAAATCTTAGCAAACAATGTTTTCATGTAGTTTGTAAAGACTTCAGTGTCGGATGCTGCTGCTCTGCTCACACAGCTGACTGATATTTTTCTGCTTCTTAAACTGGATTTCAATAGTGATGCATTCCATTACATCATCAACTGACACTGACATTTTTTCTACCACCTTGTATTTTAGTTCATTATTAATGTCCAAAGCTACACCTCCACCATTTTTATTCTTTCTGCTTATATAATTGAACTCATACCCCTCAGTGGGAAGTCTGCTCCCTTCTCAGAGGTGAGCCAGGTTTCTGTTATTGCTATGACACTGAAGGATTTTTTTTTAGTTGATATAAATATTCTTTGATTTTTTCATAATTAGCATAAAGGTTGCGGATGTTGAAGTGAATAATTGACAGTACTTGATCTGAATTAAAGCATTGACTATAGTTATTATCAGAGAAGTAATGGCAGTTGTCATTCAAATAATCAAGGAAATTGTTGTCTGGGTCAATATCTGTTTCTATATTCACGTGTATATTTTCAATTTATTACTGGATTCCAGAAAGTTGATCAGAAGTTGCCTGGTTCTCTTGTTTCACTGATATTCGTCTGGTGGTCAGTACCTTGGCTTCCTCTGGTGAACCGTTTAATTTGATATAAACCTTGCAGTTTGAGGTCCATGTTGACTGTATTTTCTTTTGTTTCCTGAGAAAACGTGCTCATCTTGCTATATCTGCGTTAACTTTGGTAAGATGCTCATTTATATAAACATTGGATCCTTTTAATTTCCTACCTTGTTTTAGGAGTTCATTCTTATGTTTCCTGTTTGTAAACCTCATTACAATAACAGGTTTAACGCCTTTGTATTTTTGTGGAAGTGGCTTCAATGCCATTATTATCAATGCTAATGCCCTTGTTACTGAAGGACGATATTACCTGGCTTTCGAGAGTTCCTTGCTCTTCATCCCTTTCTTCAGTAATGTTTGCCTCTGTCACAGCCTGGGCAAATGACCCTGGCTTCATTTCCAACCCACTAATTACAACGTCATTCATTCGACTGTATTGTTCCAAGTCAGCCACACGATGTTTCAGGAAGGCTATTTGCTTGTCTTTCTCTACATTCTGTCTCTTCAATTCTTTAACTTCCCCCATTATAAGATTTTGTTGTTGTGAGATTTTTGCTATCTCATCAGACATAAAATCCAAGGATTTCTTTATCTCCTCAAACTCTTCCTCTGTTATCGATCAGCTTTGCTTCGTATTTCTTTTCGACATTTCCGTTTAATCTGAACAAGTTGATGGTCAGGCATTGTGTCCAGCTCAGGTGAAGTGTTGTCACGGTAGCAGCCTCAGGAGTTGTAGCCACAGCAGCTCAGCGTTGTAGCCTTAGAGAGACTTTGGCTGGAACCGCATATTTTATGCGGTTGAAAGAAAGATTGAAAAGATCCAAGAAATGTGGTTTCATGCAATACAAAATTATTTGAAAAATCTGCACATAAAATTTTAAAAGGTTAAAAATTAATAGATGGAGATGCAAACAAAAACAAAGATGTAATATAATTTTTGCATCCCCGTTAACTGAGCCTGGAGCTACAGCGATAAGACTTCACCTTTTATCTGTTCGGGACAAAACGGAAGACGCCCAGGTTTTAGCTTCACGAAACTTGTACTGAATTATGCGGTGAGTTTATTCATATTTCAGTTAAAAGTTAATAAAAACTGCAAATGATCATTTATGAACAATTTATTGTTTTATTCTTTACAGTAAAGCAAAAAGTGAAAACAGATCAACCAGAGCAATGAAAGTGAGTTTTACTGAGAGGAATTACTTATCTTCATATTTAATATCTACAACTTGTTTTAATAAACGTTTTTGTTTCCTAACAGCCACAGATGATGAACCTGCAGAAACGCATACGAGGTTCTGCCTTGTGAGTGAAACCAAAACAATGAATCATAAAAACTAAATGATTTCTATTATCAGATAAAGTTATGATATTAATTATTGTTTATGATGTTCCATAAAGCCTGAAGGTTTCTGTCAACACTGACTTATTATAACTGAATAATAAAAGTTCATAAACTACAGAAAATAAAGTGAAATTATTTTAGCGTCTTCAGTTGATATTAAACATTTTATTTTGTTCATGTTTCTTGTGATTAAACATCATTTCATGCAATAGTTGATATTATTATGTTTTGTAACTAAATAACTACTGAAGTTTCCAGCAGTAAAGTTCAGGTTAAAGGTCGTTGAAACGAGTTTAGGATGTTAAAGTCCTGAAAAAAGTTATATATATTTTTATGTTTCTTTTTAAACTTTGATTTTTAAATGTAATGTCTGTTTGCTGCAGCTGATCCTGACCTGCAGAGCAGCAGCAGCTCCAGCCTGCAGCCACCTGACAGTGAGTCCAGCAGGGGGCAGCAGAAACACACCTGGTTCTGTTGAAACTGGCTTCATTCTGAGAATGAAAGGATTTGAACCTGCAGCCTTCTGGCTGCTCTCTGCACTCAGCTCAGGCTGTAAAGTTGAACAGAAATCAGTTTTAAAATCAGCTTTTGGCTCCACCTGCTGGAGCTTCATCTTCCTCCTCTGTCCAGAGTCTTCCTCTGCATCGTGTTTACAGGAAATGTTGGGTTTGATCCGCTGCCTGCCGTGTTTTTGTTTCCAGTGTCTGAGCTCCGGGTCATCCTGCTGGGCAACAGCCTGCCGGACACAACTGCAGTTGCCAACTTCCTCCTGGAGGTGCCGCTGTTCACCACAGAGGAGGCTGGTCAGAGGCCTGCTGAGGGACAAGGAGGTGGTTCTGATCAACAGCCCGGATGTTCTGGACCCGGCCAGAACATCCGGGCAGACTGGCAGAGTTCACAGAGAGCTGCGTGCGCTGCTGTGCTCCCGGACCGCACGTCTTCCTGCTGGTTCTGCAGCCGGTTCGCTTCACCAGGACCAGAATCTGCGGCTCCGCAGAGTCCTGGTGCTGTTTGAGGACCAGCCATTTGATCATACTCTGGTTCTGCTGTCCACACCC